AAATTCACATAAATTAATACGATTATCTCCGTATGTAGCATAATTTATGCACGTAATTTTATAATTTGGCATGATTCCCGATAATTGCGCATTTTTTCAATCTTCAATTCATTTGTATTATTTTTAGAAATTTTTATAATAAACCCGACATATACAACAACTGCCCAGTAGCATCCTTAACGAGCCTCCTCCACAGAGGCCGATCTTGACACTGCTGGTACCAGTCATCGCTAAGCCCACCCAGCTCCACATCCTCTTGTACCACATCACTCCATCTCTTCTCTAGCCCGTGCCACGCCCAATTGGCCCCCTATATCCGGCTGATCAAAAGCTGTTTAGGAATGCGGTGGCTGGGCATGCGGTCTACATGAAACAGCCAATGCAGCCTTGCTGGAGGAGCTCCCTGATGGGACTTTGTCCAGATCTTTCAAGGATATGTGAGTTCCACACCCAATCCAGCCTGATTAAACCCAGGATGGATCGTAAGCTAGCCAGCCTAAATGTTTCTAACTGGCAAAGATGTTCCATTAGGGGGGTCCATGTTTTGCAAGCATAGATACGGGAGGGCATGACCATGGCTGAGAAGACCCCAAGCTTTGTGTGGAGCGACAGACCAGGTAGCTTCCACACAGTGTTACAAAGCCGATTAAAAGATAAAGCCGCTGGACTGATTAGGAGTGATACCACTGCTGTCAAACCAGAGCTGGTCATGAGCACACTGCCCATGTATAGAAAACTCTCCACTTACACCACAACTGCTCCATCACCAATGAGGAGTTGAGGGGGTGGAGTGTTTGATGGCACAAACTACCCAGGCAGGTACTTGGTTTTGGTGAGGCTAATGGTAATACTCCACCTCTTAGTGGCACATTCCAGGTTCAGCAGCAGCACCTCTACCTCCTCCTCTGAATGAGCACCAATCACCAGCTCATCAGCATACATAACATGGCGGACCAATAGGGTGCCATCCAATGACCACACCCAGGCATGCATCAGTCTCCCATTGTATCTCTACCAGATGGAGATTCCTCCGGTACAGCCATAGAAGGCGTCATGAACTATGTGGTCGAAAAATATGTTAAATAATGTGGGACCCAGAAGACATCACTGTCACACCCCAAGGTGAACAGGGAATGGCTCTGAGTCCGGACCACGTAGTTTTACCTAGGCCTGCCCACCATCACGAAGGCTCTTAATGATTATGAGCAGAGAGTCAGGGACCAGAGCCCAGGTCTTTTGATGGTATGATAAACCTTGACTAGGTAAAAAAAAGCAGAGATGTAGGTCCTTTTGTAATTCCCTACACCTCTGCTGTAGCAGGCGGACAGAAAATATGGCATCTGTGCAAGACCGCCTTGGCCTGAAACCACATTGGGGCAACTGCAAGCCTCTCATCAGCGTGCCTGGCAAGGTGATGCTGAATAATCCTTGCCAGGACCTTTCCTGGCAATGTGAGGATGGAGATGCCCCTGTAGTTGTTAATCTGTGCAGTCCTTCTTCGTAAAAAAGGGGGACCACTAGGGCATCCTTACAATCATGTGGAACCCATCCAGTGGTTATGTCATTTAGGGCAGTCTGTGAGATCATCTCTGACCGATGCTTTTCCTGGTCTCAGACTCTGGATTGACGTCCGTACTTCCTCAAGAGATGGTAATTCAGCCAGCCAATCACACACACTAAGACACACACAATATCCATAAATACACCACGATATTCCGACACACACCACGATACCCATACAAAATAAAATACTCTTATATACACGAACATACACATGATACCGCTACACACACCACGATACTCCCACACATGCAGCGCTACCACTAAACACACCACAATACTAGAAACAACAACCAGCATTTTCCACGAAGCAGCGGTGACAACACCATAGCGCTTGTGCCAGGCTAGGTGCACCTTGAGGCCACATGAAGTGTGGAAGGTTCAGTGGCTAGAGGTCAAGGGACAGACCAAATTATCATGGATTGACTCACCGAGATGACCGACAGATGCCCTATCTGTGCTCCCCACTGTGCCTACTGGCTGCGTTTTTAGTGGAGTGCCAGGTGGCTCGTTGTGAGTGTCGACTTCCTCCAACTGAGCAGTAGCATCCTTCATGAGCCTCCTCCACAGATGCCTATCTTTGATATCGGCAAGTCCAATCAGCTCCACATCCTTCTGTATCTCATCAGCCCAACTCCTCTGCAGCCCATGCCATGCTCATTTAGCCCCCTCTATCCCGCCAAATAGAAACTGCTTGCACATGCACTGGCTGCACATGAAGGTTACACGACCCAGCCAATGTAGCCTCACCTGCCAGAGGATTTCACTTATTATGTCTAGATATTTCAAACATCTGTGAGCTCCTCACAAGATCCAGTGTGGTTCAACCCAGGATGGACCCTAAGCAGGCCAGCCTGAATGTTTAAAACCAGTGCAGATGTTCCTTCAAAGGGGCCTACGTTTTCCAAGTGTAGTGACATAGAATAATATTCATGTAGCAGCATCGCGCTGGCTGCTGGCAGGGAAGGGTATCTCCAGCTCGGCAGCCTTAACGTCAGCATGCCAGGTTATACACCAGAGGGGGATCTAGGGGAAAAGTCACAGAAGGGGCGCATCAAGAACCCGCTGGTAGGTTGTACAAAGGGGGCGTGGCCGGGGGCAGAGCCAGGCCATGCTGATGGCCCCTGTAGGGGACCTCGTGGCTGTCGTATGGAGTGGGATCCCCATCATGCTGCTGAAGTCTTCACCATTCTTCTCGTCGTTCTCCACCATTCTTCTCGTTGTCTTCACCATCCTTCTTGTCGTCGTCTCAATCTTCCCCATCTTGAGGCATCACCAGTCAGGCAGCCTACCAACTGTCCTGACTGAGTAACGTCGCCGACCAAAGACGGACTTATTGTGGAGTGTTAACCCCGATGGTGCTTGTTAATAAAGAAGTGCCTCCAACTCTTAGTGTCTCCGAGTTAGTCACCACACACGCAGAGAGAAGGCAGTGCATAACTATGGCGAAGACCTGGATCTTTTTATGGAGCGATACGCAAGGTTGCTTCTAAACAGCATAATGCAACTGATGAAAAAATGCCACTTGATTGATCTGGAGTGATACCTCTTTCAAACTGGAGCTGGCCATAAGTACATTGCCCAGGTATGGAAACTTCTCTACTCTCTCCACAACTGTATGTATGTTGGACTTCTTTCCCACCGTATGTAGCCAACCATGCTAATGCCACATGACATAATATACCCAGGCAGGTACTTTGTTTTTGTGGAGTTGATGGTAAGGCCTCATCTCTTCGTGGGATGTTCCACGTTCAGTTGTAGAGTCTCCAACTCATTCTCAGAATGATAGCAATTACCAAATCATCAGCATACATAACATGGATGACTAATAGAGATTCCCTTCCCTCACCCAGGCATCGAAAAGCCTTCTATTGTGCCCGTACTAGATGGTGGGGTGTGAGGGTGACTGTGTTTAAATGGCAGGAGTTATGTACAGAAGTGGTTATGTATAGAATTTCTATGATCAATTAGGTGGCTCGTTGCTTTCTATCGTAAGGCATAATACAATCATGCTCCTTGGTGATTTGAATATCATTACGGGCATCAACCACAGCGGCTTTGAATATGTCAAACGGCCTTTTGGCCTCGGAATTCTGAATAACAACACTGCTAGACTTCTGTCTGTCTGCTCATCTGAGGGCCTTACTATTGTCAACTCATGGTATCATAGACTGAACATCCATATACAAACTTGGATCTCAAAGGATAGTCACACAACTAATAAAATAGATCATACCCTGAACAAGGACAGAGCCATCTTTAAGTCATACTGGGTTTTCCGTAGAGCAGAGGCACCTTCTAACACTGAACACCGCCTGATTGTCGCACAATTTTCAGCAAGCCATCATGAAGCTTAAAAACAGCAAAGCAGGCTAGATGGTATTTCTCCAGGACTGTTGAAATGTGCTCTGCATCGGTTCTGCATCAATATCTGGATGTCTGGCAAGATACCTGCTAATTAGAGAGACAGTATAATTGTTTTTACGTACAAAGGATCCTGTACGGCATGCAGCAATTATAGACCTCTATCACTACTTTCAGTGCTGGGAAAGGTTTTTGCACACGTAATTCTAGGAACGCTGCAACCACTCCTGACAAAACACCATCACCCATAGCAATCAGGATTCACAGCCAGTTGATCTACGATGGATGCTGTACTCCACCTACTTGCATAACTGCACCCTGAGTTTGACCGCCCATTGCGTGTCGCTTACATTGATTTGAAGGCAGTTTTTGACTCTGTGGATCTATTCGCGCTCTGGTCTGGCTTATGAGGGATTGGGGTCACCAGCATCCTGATGGACCTTGTGAAAATCTAGATGTAGGCAAAAGTGGAAGGGTTCGTGTTGGTTCCAGACATTTGCTAACATTTTGAGACCACATCTGGGATACATCAAGGATGTGTCCTCACAACGGTGCTCGTTTAACCCACGAAATATATAGGAGCCTCACCCAGGTGATGCAAGGAACTGCAGGACTCTGCTGCATCAGCTGCTCTAGAGTGGCTCTGTCGAGGTGTGGAGCCCTCCCACTGGTAGCGGTCTCACTCTCTCCTCTATGAAAAAGTCACGTGCTTACTATGTGAGCCTAACCTGTACAAAGCCATGTCAAGTGAATCCCTCACACTGGTAGCGATCTCACCCTCTCCTCTATAACCAAGTCACATGCTCACTATGTGAGCATCACCGATATAGACATTACTCACACACACGACTGTGAATATATTGTACATACAATTATTAAAGTGCATTACATTCATAAGCTGTAATCAGTAACCATGTCATACCCAACAGCACACTGAGTCTGCTCGCTGTGAGTTTGTACAAATGAAAATTCCTCAGCATGGACACATTTTCCACGGACTGAATCAAGGCATTAGATTGGTGATACAGGAACCTGCTGGATCTGCAGAGGCACGTGACTCAGAGGAAGGCACTCACCAGGATCTGAGCTTTTAATGTAAGCCAGCACGTTTTTTGTGCCCCACTCCATGGGTGTCCATAGAGAATCCGGGACGTTGGAGGCATCCGGGGAGACAGACGTCAGCAACTTCATGAACAACTCTGTGAGACAATGCGACTTATCAAACAACAACCTTCATAGATGGTAAAATATTGTTATTTCAATAGCATATTTTGTTGTGATTAACATGTGATATGTCTATAAACATTCCGTCATGTAAAATGTAAGCCCCCACATCACTAAACTTTTATTATTTAGCTGTTTGTCATGACATTTTAGATTATGAAAATAAGCAGATGCAATAGCAGCATAAACCTGCCTTAGAGTAAAAGTGTGCAAAGAAGCGTTAATAGATGTACACTGATAATTATAATTGCATTGAGATAAAAAAAACAGGCACAAATGAATAAAATAAAATTCACAGGTTATACTCTTTGGGTCTTTTGGTAAAGTCACGTAGATAGAAAAATAATGATAAAATAATATCTACGTGACTTTACCGAAAGACCCAAAGAGTATGAATTCCGGCAGTCACGAAAGCTTTAAGTCAAGATTCACAGGTTAATGACATCCTGGAAATTGCTAAGAAAATAAATTCAGGTTAGGAAGAACATCGTCGATTTGAGGGACGATGGCCCTTGGTCAAGAATAATGATGGCTTGGCAGCCAAGAAATGGAATGCATCTGAGAAGATGCATGAGAAGGCAAGGCTTTACAAAGGAAGACCGGGTTCACAGAAGAACATGGTAATTCACACGGAAATAAAATTCCACCCAGGAAGATAAAATTCCACACAAGTCTTCCTGTGTGAACGCTTGTCTGCATGTTTCACAAGGATGTACAGTGAGGGAAAAAAGTAATTGATCCCCTGCTGATTTTGTACGTTTGCCCACTGACAAAGAAATGATCAGTCTATAATTTTAATGGTAGGTTTATTTGAACAGTGAGAGACAGAATAACAACAAAAACATCCAGAAAAATGCATGTCAAAAATGTTATAAATTGATTGGCATTTTAATGAGGGAAAAAAGTATTTGACCCCTCTGCAAAACATGACTTAGTACTTGGTGGCAAAACCCTTGTTGGCAATAACAGAGGTCAGACGTTTCTTGTAGTTGGCCACCAGGTTTGCACACATCTCAGGAGGGATTTTGTCCCACTCTTCTTTGCAGATCTTCTCAAAGTCATTAAGGTTTCGAGGATGACGTTTGGCAACTCGAACCTTCAGCTCCCTCCACAGATTTTCTATGGGATTAAGGTCTGGAGACTGGCTAGGCCACTCCAGGACCTTAATGTGCTTCTTCTTGAGCCACTCCTTTGTTGCCTTGGCCATGTGTTTTGGGTCATTGTCATGCTGGAATACCCATCCACGACCCATTTTCAATGCCCTGGCTGAGGGAAGGAGGTTCTCACCCAAGCTTGACGGTACATGGCCCCGTCCATCGTCCCTTTTATGCGGTGAAGTTGTCTTGTCCCCTTAGCAGAAAAACACCCCCAAAGCATAATGTTTCCACCTCCATGTTTGACGGTGGGGATGGTGTTCTTGGGGTCATAGGCAGCATTCCTCCTCCTCCAAACACGGCGAGTTGAGTTGATGCCAAAGAGCTCCATTTTGGCCTCATCTGACCACAACACTTTCACCCAGTTGTCCTCTGAATCATTCAGATGTTCATTGGCAAACTTCAGACGGGCATGTATATGTGCTTTCTTGAGCAGGGGGACCTTGTGGGCGCTGCAGGATTTCAGTCCTTCACGGCGTAGTGTGTTACCTACTGCTTTCTTGGCGACTATGGTCGCAGCTGCCTTGAGATCATTGACAAGATCCTCCCGTGTAGTTTTGGGCTGATTCCTCACCGTTCTCATGATCATTGCAACTCCACGAGGTGAGATCTTGCATGGAGCCCCAGGCCAAGGGAGATTGACAGTTCTTTTGTGTTTCTTCCATTTGCGAATAATCGCACCAACTGTTGTCACCTTCTCACCAAGCTGCTTGGCGATGGTCTTGTAGCCCATTCCAGCCTTGTGTAGGTCTACAATCTTGTCCCTGACATCCTTGGAGAGCTCTTTGGTCTTGGCCAAGGTGGCGAGTTTGGAATCTGATTGATTGATTGCTTCTGTGAACAGGTGTCTTTTATACAGGTAACAAGCTGAGATTAGGAGCACCCCCTTTAAGAGTGTGCTCCTAATCTCAGCTCGTTACCTGTATAAAAGACACCTGCGAGCCAGAAATCTTTCTGACTGAGAGGGGGTCAAATACTTATTTCCCTCATTAAAATGCAAATCAATTCATAACATTTTTGACATGCGTTTTCTGGATGTTTTTGTTGTTATCCTGTCTCTCACTGTTCAAATAAACCTACCATTAAAATTATAGACTGATCATTTCTTTGTCAGTGGGCAAACGTACAAAATCAGCAGGGGATCAAATATCTTTTTCCCTCACTGTATGAAGGAAAGAAGTCAAGAAGACAAGGGTTCCACCAAGAACGCATGGATTTACACAGAAAAAATAAGGTTTACACATGAAGCTATGGGCTGCAATTCGTAATTGAATGAATGCACGAATGACTAAACCAACAATTTAGTATGTATTAAATAAATAAATAATAGTTAAATGAATGGTCAATTATATTCTATTTTTGAGTTCAGCAATAGGTTCAGCAGTTCAATGCTAATGATGAATTAATACACACTACATACAAATACCAACGTAGCATATTTTTTTAATGCATATAAGTAAATGTATATTTCCAACATTTCCTCCCACACATAGAATACATGTGTAATGACAGTAGAGCCTACATGCGGTTGAGTGGACTAGTGGTCACAGGAGGTAATGACAGGGGAGTCAGCCTACAGTGCAAATGCACTAGAGGCCATAGGAGGTAATGACAGGAGAGTCAGTCTGCAGTGCGAATGCACTAGTGGCCACAGGAGGTAATGACAGGGGTATCAGTTGTGAGTGCGAAGGGACCGGTGGCTACAGGAATGATCGAGAAGGGAGCATGGTCAGGTGGCAGAAGAGGACAGTAGAGTCTGCCGGTGGAGCGAGCATCCAGAGTCAGCAAGAATTATCCAGAAGAGGGGAGTGGCCTTGGTTGGTATATAAGGGAGATGCGCGGGAGACTCGGGGCTGTTGCAGTGGGTTCTCCGCATGATGTCAAGTGAACATGTCTTCAATAAAGTGCCATCTCATAAGAAGCGTGTTAAGTCGTCATTACAACTGGTGTTAGAAGTGGGGTGTTATCATGCCATGGCCGCAAGAATAACTCACCGACGACTTCGGATGGGGAAGAGACCCCCCTGCAGCAGCCCCGGGTGGCGGGGACTGGGTGAGCAGCTCCACAGGGGAAGAGGGAGCAGCAGTGGTAACGAGGAGAGAGGAGGCCGCCCGACAGCAACAAATAAATAAAGAATGGGAAGAGGTAACGGGATGGCTGGACCGGCTGTTAGCAGTGGTCTCGCAGCTCACTGTGCAACTTGCCACAGCTGCGGCGAGAGGAGGAGCAGCGGAGAGCATAGTGGGAGTCCCTGTGGTAGAAACCGTTCAATTGACAGCCGCCATTTTGCAAGATAACTAAATTACAGCTCCGGCGGTGCGGGAAATAATTCGTAGCAGCAGGAGGCGACTGGGGCGCTTTTACCAGAAGGTTCTAGGCAGCGTATCAAACCATGGGATGGTCAGAAGAGGAAGCGCTGAGAGCCTTGCCTACCGCCCTTGACAACGATGCCCTCGAGGTGTTCCGAGCTGTGCCGTAGGAGCGTAGGGGCTATGCTACAAGAGGCGAATGGTAAAATGGTGGCCGTGTTCGATTCCCTGTCAAGTACGCGGAGGAAGTTCCTGCAGTGAAAGCGAGAGCAAGCTGAGACGCCCCTCACTTATCGCAGTGCGTTGATGGTGCTGGGCCAGGTAGTGTACCCGCAGCTGAACGAGATGGCGCTGGATTCTCTGGTGATGGAGAAAATGCTGGTGTTGGTGCAATAGATGGGGGTCGTGTTGCCAATTGTGGAGGAGGAGGTGCAGACCTCCCTGTGGGCGGCCCGATGCCTGCAGACAATGAGGGGATGAACCGGCGGCCTCGTGTGGTGGCATGGTCGGGTGATCTGATGTTGGGTGGGGCCTCGACAGCCCGGTCAGCGGGAAGTGCAGCGACGTCAATGGAGGAGGATCCAGAGCTGGGGGAGGAGGTGACGGCGGCGGTACACGGGTGGCCCAATGCCAGGGAGAGACTTCGCGACGGCCTCAAAGATAGTGACCAAGGGGAAAGGTGACGGCTCTGCAACGAGGGCCCGCCATTGCCTGCTTCAAGTGCGGTCAACCGGGGCACATCGTGCAGGGATGTCGGAGCGACTCCCAGACTATGACGTCGCCAGCATCTATCTTCTCGCCAACGGCCACTCCACAACTATGGCAGGCGAGTCACGGCATGACAGATACCTGGCCCAAACCATCACCTCACACATCTAGGCAGTCATGTCCTCCGGGCTCCATTATCATCTTGCATACTTCGTCGGTCGCATCAGTCGTGTCGGTTGTGTCGGTCGTGGGTGAATGGTGGGTTTCGACTCTAGGCGGATGGCCCAAGTCGGGCATTCAATGGAGGAGGTAGGCGGCTGCCGCAGGCACGTCGGCAGAAGCCGGCTCCATTGATGGGATAGAGGTGCATGTCTTAATTGACACTGTCGCATCGCGCACCATTATGTCGGAATTGATATATGGCATGCTTCCATCGAAATACCGCTGCGTGACATCGGTTGTGAGGGCATGTATGGTGGCTAATGGAGGAAGCATGGGGATCGTGGGCCAGGATGAAATGTGTGTAAGGATTGGAGGGATTGCGATGTCATGGCCCGTTTTTATTTAAAAAATATGGCTGTACCATGCCTTTTGGGTGCCGCCTTTTTGAATAGAATACCACTCAAATTTTTGACGGATCAGAGGTGTATAGAGATGGCATCAGGGCAGTGGTTGTTTTTGTTGGATTCTGTTGGAAGGAAAGTGGATGCAAACGTCGTGATTCAGGCTTGGTGAGGGAATTGGTAGAGATCCCACCAGGCATGCAGATGTTGGTTTTCTTGCGGTACCGCAAGCGGTTGCATT